TGATAGACGCAGACGGCGCGCTGTACTCATGTTTCGATTTAGTGTGTGGCAATAACAAACCCAATCTGTCAAGCGTTAGTGCAAAAAACGAAGATGACCCACATGCAGAATACACTGGAGACAGGGGCATGACTGAGAACTCCAATAAAGAGACGAGAGACTGAACAAACACTCAATATAATACGACAGCGATGAGCAAATCCCAAGAAAGAAGATATGTATGCTGAGAACTAACGGCAAGTGCAGAATAGGTGTGCATCAGTCTGTATTGAATCAGGTTTAAAGCACAAAAAGGAAGCCATTTTACCAGAGTGATGGTAGAAAAAAAGGAAATTAATCATTTGGATTTGAAATATAGGCTATGTATTCCAATCAACAAATTTAATTTATCAGCATTACTGTATTAAGCACACATTCAGTATTTTCTAGGTCAAGAGTCAATATTGACTCTTGCTTAGTTTGTACCTAGGTTTTTCTGTTATTAAGTCCTTCCATTTTGTACCCAGTAATATGGGGAACACATGTTCTACGACCCAAGCTGACAGTATTTAATTTGCTCCAACAAAAATTTTTGCCTAGATCCACAAAACCTACACAGTCCTTAATAGACATAGAGCAGTTGATTTTATTAATGAGGTGACTTTGTTTATGGTCAGATGTATTAAAAAAATAAAGACATTTTCTTTAGTAGAAAGTCTTATTTATCTTATTAGTCTTATTATAAGTTTATTATACGGAAAATCAAGAGAAAACAGAATGCATGGCCCAATACTAAAATATTGGTGCACCTACCTGCCCTGTTACACTGTTGTTTAAATTACACGAGATATTACTTTTTATGACTTTATGACTGGGAAAAAAAACACTATTTAGCCCTTTTAGAGCCACATTACTTTTAAAACTGCCTAAATCTCCCTCAATTCATTTTAAACAATTTCTACATTCTGAAGGTTTTTTTTATTACAGTCTAAAGTCAAATCTTTTAATTTTTCAGAGTCCTGATTAAGTCAAAATCACTCTGACTGACCTACATTACTACTAGTGGTTATTAACTATAGGCATTAAACCAAATTGTCTTCATGGTGTTGTACAAATGCAATAATTAAGAATTTCAAATAGAGTTAATATAAATGCAACAATGTAGGTAGAAACTACCAATTTTGTATGAATATGGAAGGCAACTCATATGCAAAATAATTGAATAGGAAAATGAAAGGGAGTGTAAATATAACCATTTAGCCAAAATAAAAGAGCACATAGCTCTTTACCATTTTCCAAGTTGTTTTTTTATTGTTTCAATGGTTATCCAATGTATTAAGAGTAGAATAGAATAGAAAATTCCTTCATTGTCCCAAAATGGGGAAATTCTGGTGTTTGCAGCAGCAATAAGATTATAGAAAAAATTGTCACACAAATATGGACCTTAGAAAAAATGTATAAGAATAACATTATAATAATTTAACTTTATTGATCTCACATTGGAGAAATTTACCTCTGATTTAACCCATCCCTTTGGGGAGCAGTGGGGCCACTGTGGGGCGCTCAGGGAGCAATCAGGGATTAAGGGTCTTGCTCAGAGACCCAGAGTGGCAGTGGGTTTCAAACTCACAACCTCAGAATTCCAAGCTCTATGCCTTATAGGCCACCACTCCCTCTAATAGTGAAGAGTCAAAAGATAAACAATAAAACACCGTACTGTAAAGTGTTTTAACGATATCAAACTGTGCACCTGGAGAATAAATAACCAATATAAGCTATGGACATTTTTACAGTAATGGAGATTTGAAAATAGCAGCAACATCCGAGATGTGCAAAATGACAGCAGCATGTTATTTTACTGACTAAGGTAGAAACTGTGCAAAATCAGCTTATTGAGGTTGTTGGGAACAGTGGTGGTTAGTCTTACAACTTAACTTGTGGAGCTCTGCTTGTATGCCATTATTTTTTTTGACGACATGAGTATTAACCTTGTTACTAATAGTAAAAAAAAAAATCCAATTATTTTAACCAATTTGCAAAACATAACCCCAACTATTTTCATCCTACCTTCTGATCCTTCTGATAAAATTCCAGAAAAATTGTGGAACAGTCCTGAGTATAATCCAGTGGATTCCCAGTCCGAGAATAAAAAATTAAGGTACAACACTCTATTAAGTTCCAAATTTAGCATATATTTAATTCAATTATTGTTGCTTACATTTATATAGGAAATTGAATTGAAAATTAATAAACACTGGTAATAACTAGAACCCTAAAAATGTAATATTTAAATTATTTTAGCATTAGTAAATTGTAATAATAACTGCTTCTTTTGCACTTAAATTATACTGTACCATTTTCTTTATCTTATGTGAACATTTGGAAACCAGGACATTTTGGCATTAAGCTGCTTCTCTATTTTACAATTTTTAAATTTTTATCTTAGATACCTTTGACATATGATTTACAGTTTAACTATTTCAATTGTATGCTTTTTCAAGCATTGATGATTGATTTCAGCATACTGTAGGTCATTTTTACTGGGAATGTAGAAACCTAGCCATAAGTCCAGAGCTACTGGATGGATAAAAAGGGAAAAATCTTAAACAATAATGGAAGAAGAAAATGGAGAGGATAAAAAACATTTGTGTTACTCAAAGCAGATGACAGAGACTTTGCCTGCTCGTAGCAGATAAGATAGAGGATAGCTTATGACCCTGGTAGGGGTTTTAAAAAAACATGAAACTAACAACAACTTTGCAGACATCTGCCTCTGTAAGCGTTACAAAATAGATTATGCAACTTTAAAACACAAAATCCAGGATGTGCTTTGGGAAACGGTCATTTTAAAAAGCATATCTGCGGTTTATAAAAGGGAATATCTGCTAAGGCATGCAGGAACACAAACTCCTTTTAGTTTAATTAGAATCCATAGACCGCTGAGGGCTTATAGTATTTATTGTACATTTACTCCCAGGGTTTTAAATATTTATTTGATCCCGAATAAATTTTAATTAGGACTTCAAACACTTTAGCTCTGTTCAGCCCAAGCAGGGCTTTTCCTTTGATCAAACGTCACTTTTTCCTATTTCTTCTTGTTTTCTTCCCTGAAGGCTTCTGGCTTCTAATTGGTACTGTGTTGACCGTCTTGTCTGTCTGCAGCAGGTCTATCTCCCTGTCTGTCAGCACAGACAAGAAGGACATGAGCTGAAAACAGCTCTTTGGGATATAGGTTGCCTTTTTTATGGAGAGAACTTTTAGGGTTGGACTTAAAAATGTCAAATGTTCTGTCAAATGTGTGTTGTCGTAACAAAGAGGCTCAAACAGATATTCTCAGATATTTTGGTTGACACATTTTCTTCACATCCCTGGAATTAACTGGAATATGCATTATTTTTATGATGTTTGTAGGCTGTATAAAAATTGTGTATTTTATTAAGGAATAGCGTGTCTTTGTGTGTTGTGTTTATATCCTGCCCCTCCCTTCCTTTATTCCTCCCCCGGGTCTCTGTGCTGTGTGTTAATGTAGTGAAGTGGCACATCGGTCAATGAGCTTGTATTAACACCTGACTCTAGGACCTAGTTGTTGTTTGTTCCTCTGTGTGGGCTCCCCTGAGCCCTTCTCCTGGCAGGAGGAGGCAACATCTCCCATAATCAATACCAGCTTTCTACAAGGCCAGGCAAGGAAAGCAAGACAAAAGGTGGATGGGCGCTGTATTTGGTGGGCTCATGTCCACTTTTTGCATTTACTGATTAGAAACAATATTACTTTAAGTGCTTATGCCTGGTTTAAATTTTCTGTTATCTTAATTGTGCTGATTGCCAATATCTCATATTAGCAGTAAGCGTTTTTATGCTTTAGTGAAATAACATTTTCCATGTTTATTTTCTCTAGAAGAGAGATTTGGAATAACTTGTCCAAGAGGTTGATGAATATATAAAAATCAAACAAAGGGTTGGGTGTGGCTTGTCCAGAAGGGTGGGGATGCCCAGTATCCACGTCGGTTAATGGATCCAACCATCATGCTTTTCAGTTGACATTAAAGAGATTATTATTATTACCACTTTGCCTTTATATTTCAACTCTGAACAAAGCATGCATTTTTATTATTATAGTTTACCGATTACCCTCCAGATTTATTTATAATTTTGTTTACATTGTTAGTATTCTGTTTACTGGACAATGCTATTGTATTTTTAATGTATTAATGATTTTTTTTTTTCCAGTTATATGCTTATATGACTGTTTTTATTTTTTGAGTTAATTATTATTTATTTTTTAATTTTCTTACCTGAATTCATATCTGCATAAAATATTCATTAACTAATGCTGATCTGTCCCCTTTCACCCCTTCTCCCTATTGCCCCTCTTTAATCTAGTGTAACATATCATTACTTTTTGTAATTTATCATCATTCTGTATAAACACTCTAGCATAATAGAAAAAAGAGGTTGAACACTATAAATGATAAGATTGAGTACCTTTCCTGTACTTTATTTAGTTTTTCTGTTAACAACGGTACATACATAGATAACCTTTAGTGTTTTTCACTGAAACAACCTTGGTGTGCTACATTTGCTGGCTGGAAAACACATGATGTATGAGATTACGACTGTCTGGGTTGTTTTTGGTTGGAAATAGCCCTGTCAATAGAAGACAAGCTTTCATTCTTTAAAGCAGCTTAACAAAATTTGAACAAATCCAAGCAGCAGCAAATCCCATGAGTTACAACAAAATCAACCGGTCACAAAAGATGAAATTGGAAGATTCTGCACACTGTTATTGCACTGAAACACAACGTCATCCATGAAAGATACCTGATAAAGATGGGGAGTTAGAGTATAGTGCAGTTTTATGTAAGTTTGTTTTACCCTTGCCAAAAAAGCGATATTTGTTATGTCTTTAAAAGGATTAAAAACAAAAACCAATGGGGACTTCATGTAATCTACAGCTTTATTTTCGATGTCTTCTGCTGTGCTGGCATTAACTTTGCTCTGTTCTCTTTCTCTCTGCTGTCCAGGCTCTCTCCATGGCTGAGGTGAACGGGCCTGGCTCCCAGCTGGCAGAGCCACAGATTGCCATGTTTTGCGGCAGACAGCTCCTGCACATGAACATACAGACCGGGCAGTGGGAGCCAGATCCTCAGGGCCGTCAGGGCTGCTTTAAAGAGCCCAATGAATTCCTGTCTTACTGTCAGGAGGTAGGGTTTCGACTTGGAACATTATATAGCAGCAATATTCTAAAACATCGCTGGTTACATATTTTTTTTCTGTTTTGGTTTGTCTAAAGCATCCCCTATGAAATCTATATATTAACTATATATAGAAAAGAGATGGCAGTCTGCTGAAATATTAAAATATTTCATTTATTCCACCTTCCTTTCCTTTTATTGTTACCTTTTATGCATGTTTGTTATGACTCAAAAGATCCTGAAACACACCTCCTCTAGATTGTTCATTTTTTAAAAATAGCAGTAAAGGCACCCAGAGGCCACCTGCAGGCCAGTACTGGTATATATGCTGCAGATGGCATCCATAGAGCTGAAAGCCCTCTAATGGGATTATCTGACACATAATGCATCTCCAGTGCCTTTTACATGAAGCTTTGCTTCTATCCTTTGCATTCAAGCAGACAGCATTTAAGCCTGCATTTATACTGAGCTTTTTACATACCTGCTGCTATTAAACCTCAATTTAAGCTTAAGTTTCAGAGAATGGAGCTACATTTTAAGTGAAAATACATGTAATATTGAAAAAGCTTAACTAATAATTGTGATGCACCGCTAGTGAGGTGTTTTTTTAATTCATTCTTAGTTATTTAACAGGAAGAGCTATCATGTATTTTTAAAATCTACTGCATGGATGTTTCCCCTGTCAGTTTTCTTCCTCCCTTTCATCCTCTCTGATCCTGGAATTGATCTTTTACCCCTTACTTTAAAAAAAAAAGTTTCCTTGTCTAAATACCCGGTGTTCTGTCCGCCTACCAATCTGTTTCTGTGTCTTTGGCGTCTCTGCATGCACCCGTACCATCCAGATGTACCCAGCGCTTCCAATCTCTCACATAGAGGAGTCTAAAAGACCCGTCACCATCTCGGCCTGGTGTAAGGAAGGACTGGGTCACTGTCAGACGCACCCCTTCTTCGTCCTTCCCTACCGCTGTCTCGGTAAGAATGAAGAATCTCAACCTAATTACATTTTATTAAAAACTAAATACAAGCTTTGCAGTAGTCTTGAAAATCCTGGAAAAGAAGGTCATTTGATTTCATTACTTCCAAATCTGGATAAATAAAAACTCAAACCAGGATTTTATGATTGTCCTATCTTCATTAAAGGCTCAGTTATGCTTTTTATGCGGTTTGAACAGCACAAAACACAAGATTACATCACAACATGTAGAACTGGAAAACAGATCTGTTTCCAACATTTTCAAAGCCTCGTTATGAGAGTGCCAGTAATTTCTTTCACAATCTGTTGCACGTGATGATGTATATGGGCTAGATCACAAGATGTCTCTAGATGTTTTTGTTTGGTAACCCTCGCCAGTAGAGGTTGTTGCACGTATCTGTCAGCGTAGTTACAATGTGTCCCATGTGTGGAGCAGCAAATCTGGCTACACTGAATCTGTGAGGAGTGATGTTGTTGCTAAAATCATATAGTTTAGCCACGAGGACTTTGCCAGGTTTAAGAATGTTCTTGATTTCCCAAAAGAAGCAACTCCTAAGTTACTATGGTTATTTATCTCTGCGGCTAGCCTTGTTTTGGTTAAAGCTACAGTGTGTAATAATTACTGGGATATACAGTCAGAAATGTAATATATTATACATAACTATGTTATTTATCATCATCTACGAGCTCAGCCTCTTAACCTTAATATTT